TGTCTAGCACTCGAAGCTGACGCTCAGGCATTCTGCCCATTTTGCCCTGCCATGACGGCGAGAGTTGGGACTCAAATAATCGTCGAGCTTCACGATTTTCCAAAGCCGTCGTGGAGCGAGGTCGGCCACAGGTGCGACTGCTCGCGGTGAAGCGACTGGCTCACTATGTGCAATCGCAGCTGGAGTGAGGCTTATTTGGAGAAGTATGCTCGTTTTTCATCCCCTGCGCCCTGCATATTAGTGATCCCATGCCCAATTGCTGCCTTCGCAGTACCTTAAGCGTTTTCTGCACCAAAAAACTCATTCAGAGAGTAGGTGAGGAAGGCGTTTGATGAATTATCAAAGTTTCGGCCTTCTCCACGAAGTTATTGGGTTGATGCATAATTATTGCGGATTTTTTCGCGCATTCTTTTTTCGAAAAGATTGGCGTTTTGTTTATTATTTTTTCATGAAAATATTCTTCTTCTTTCATTAACAGAAATGCTTATCGAAAATCATCTTCATATTCGCCACACATATGCTCTACCACTTCGAGAAAGGTTGGAAGGCGGCAGAGTCATTTCGCGATCTCAACGAACTTTTCGGCGAGGGAACAATCAGCAAAAGCCAAGTTGAAAGATGGTTCAAGGGTTCAAAACGCCATATTTACCGACCGAAGCTCCTACAGACTACCACTTCAATCAGTCGTTGAAAAACTGGCAAACGAACAAAATTTACGACGAGCTGGATGACTTGGTGGCCGATGTTAGAGCGTGGATCGTCTCCAAGAATCGTGACTTTTCTTCACCGTGGAATCACCGAGCCAAGCAAACGGGAAGCATTCTTGAAGTATGGTGACTATGCTCCGGAATAATCTTTTGGCATGTTTTCGTTGAATATTTTTTATCGTTTTCGCTGAATAAAATTTGTTGAAAAAATCCGCAATAATTATGCATCAACCAAATAACAAGCTGGCCGCGCGTTATTGCCTGATATTGACATCGTTTCTCATAATGCATTTACGCGTGATCTGCAAAATGTGGCATTTGCTGGCCCAAATCGGTCGCTCAGAAAAGCTATTTTCAGTGCCAGTGCAGTGCTCTTTCGAAGGCGATCATCAGTGGCGCGATTTGATGGCTTCTTAAAAGTTATTGCACTCACGATCAGAGCACTGGAATGCGGTTGGGATCACCTCTTGCCACCCCTCCACCGATGGAATTGTATGACGTCATTCAAACCGCACCGCCCTCTAAACAGTGTGGTCACTGCCATACCGGGGGTAGTAGACAGGACAAGCGTTGATGTCGCGCCCCTTTTGCCGCTTGAAAGTGCGCGACAAAGGCGCAAGGAGCTCGTCCGACCCGCAACTCACACCTTCGTCCGCAAGCCCCACCCTCCGCTGTCGGTTGCCACGTGGCGCTGCTTGAAAAGCGCGGGCGCATTTGAGGCAGCGGTCCCATTGCGACCCAATGTCATTGGCACTGGAGCAACTAGAGTTAGGTTCGTGAAACTCGTCCAACGCGCCCTTCTCTATCCCAAGGTGGAATGCGGCTGAAATAGGGGAGGTCTCTGTACGGGGCGTAATCGGTGGTTTCGTTTGCTTTCCTTCTCTTTTCCAGACCACCTCCCACCTCTAGCTTCATAACTGAACGCTTTTCCACACCTATTTTATCCCGAATCTTGCCTTTAAAAAAAATGCACAGCATATTCTTCTGTGTAACTGGACTGAGATTTAAAGAGTTCCGTGCTGAGAAACGAGAAGAGCTAGGTGTTCAAATCACTCATAGCCGAATGATAGAATGGGTGAAGAGGTTGCCGATTAGGATATTGTGTAAAAGCTCTCAAGCATTGATGTTATCTTGATACTCTTTATATAGTGCATCTAAACTTTATTTCAGTAGGTTCGGCGATCTTGTCACGCTGAAATGGTGGGATAATCTGTGGTTGAACGAAGGTTTCGCTTCGTTTGTGCAATACATTGGAGTCAACGAAATAACCCACGATAATTTTAGAATGGTAGGATATCAGATAATAAGTTAAAGTGCCTCATTTCAGCAACTAGAAGAGTGAAAGGTTTATCGTGGATTTTTCAGGAGGACTGTTTTCCTTGGCGTGGAAGTCGATTCGCACAAGGCATGGAGCTGGACGCTGGTAGCTAGCGAAGTTCATCCACTTATTCGTTCAGAATTGAAGGCTCAGAAGTTCTGGCGAGGATTTTGATGATGTCAGCTATCGTGAAAGGAGCATCTGTTCTCACAATGCTGCAGGCTCTGGTTGGCAAAGAGGCCTTCAAGAATGCCGTGACGGTAAGTCGACGATTTTTCTACAACAGATGTTCTCTTTGACTTCTTGAATGACAATTTTCCTTAGAAATTCTGTCTAGGCAACTCTCAAAAACAACAAGACAAAAATAAAATTGTATTTCAAGCTTCCTATGCAGAACTCTACGCACCGTTTCTACCGATAAGTTCAAATTTGTGGCCAATTTTGTCGTGGTCCTCACCTAATCGCGGTGGATACGCTTCTTGACAGTATTCACAGCTACCCTTCGGCTTCTTAAGCGATCGACCTCTGTGAGAGAGACCACTATGCGTACTACAGTAAAGGATGGTATGACGATCTAGCGATGCATCCTTAAAATACGGCAGATCTCGGAAAGAATCACCCTCCAGCACGCGAGACTAACTCTTCCACTACTTTCGGTGGAGCCTTTCACCAAATAAAGATCATGAAACCATAATCACATATAAAGAACATTCGCGAATCTGAAGGTATAGTCACAGATCTGTTCATAGTTCAGTGAACGAATTTGCAATATTTTACCTGTCACCATGCCCCCCCCCCCCTGTAGAGACAGTATACGAAGGTTCGGTCACGAACAGTTAGATATCAGAACGGAGCCAATCTCCATAAGCCACTGCATTCTAGCATTCGGATTCGAAGAATAGAGACAAAACGAGGGATAGATGACGATGCAATTGGGATGCCCCAGCCATAGGTGAAAAGGTCAAAAGATTTTCTCGTGAAGGCACTATCAGAACCAATAGTGAAAAGGTCCCCCCCCACATCCTCTCCCTCCGTCATCATTTGGGAAATTTGTGTGGTAGGAATTGAAGATGGTGATAGTCTCTTGTTTTTTCGGATTGCTCACCAAAACACGCAATTCTTCCGATCTTTCTTAACATGAGGACGGCCTCCGATGGTTTATAGAAGGGAAGGATGAGGCTCTTTCCGTTCACCAGTCGTGGAAGCTGCTACCAGGTTCCATTCGGCAGCTAGTTCTTCCAGCCCACGCCCCAGCTTACCTCGTCTTGTTTTTTATATATTATTAATATTTATTAAGTATACGCTCAGCGTGTAACTTCACACTCACTGCACCATCAAATAAGCTTTCAAATAAGCTTCTTTCGAAAAAAAACTCGGTAGATAAATTTTGATTTATGTTAAGAAGGCAATTTCAGCAATACCTCAAGAAATTTTCGTT